TTTTTGCTTAAATTAACTGACATGTCAGCATAATTATTAGCTTTATCTGTCCACGTGATTGGTGTCACACATTTGCACGGCAGCTGCATAGAACCGAACTGCGCCATCATCCGAGTAAACTATTTTGCTCTCTTAATTATGATTTCTAATGGCGTGTAGCTACTTAGCCAAAAATAATACCCATACAACCACATTGTTATTACAGAAGCCGAACTAACATTAACTAGGCGGTAGCCCCAAAATTACCTAACACGACATACTGCTATTTCGTTGACAGAACTGGTTAACATCGTAAAATTCATTAATTATTTAATATTAAAATTTGATTGTTGTTTCATTATGCCCTCCTAGCTATCTATGGATGTTGGTTTGAACACTTGGCAGACTGGATGAAGTTGAGTGGCAGGGACAACTTCCTGCATTTAAAATTCGAGGATATCAAAGAGGTATGGATAATAATACACATTCCTAATAAGTCACGCCCTCAACGACGAAGCGGTTATGTGACGTCAAAACTGTTTGATTGTGTTATTATTTGTCACTCAGAATATGACAAGTCTTATGTGAACACTATACTTTTTACAATGTTAGTACTAGTATGTAGCGAATGGGAAATCACTCTCGAGCAAGGGCACACAGAATTATAAACACCACATGGGGCGCGTACTCACCCCGCTCTTATGACGGGATTTTATATACTATGTCTACTATCGACATCATGCACCAGAATTATACACGCTTACGCTATTATCTGTTTGTTATTATAACTGCGAGCCACGTTTTTTGCTCGATGTGCATCAACGCTGTAATGTCCATCAAAACTTCGTTTTTCACGTGGATTTACACCACTTACGTATGTTGTTGCGAAAAGCTATAATTTATGATCACAGTGCATTTTGTATATACCGGTAGATCAGATATGTAAATCCAGATACAGAGTGCCAAAATATCTTCAAGTGTATGAAGTGTTTAATTTGTAGACGTGCCCAACTTTGATATGCCGCCCTCTCTTGTTTCAAAACTATTAAGTGTACTGCTTTTTGTATACATTAGGATCGCCAAGGTGCTTCGGAGACTGTTGCTAAGTTCCTTGGTTACGACTTAACCCCCGATGAGATGAAGAGAGTCGTAGACCATACTGATTTCAATAACATGAAAGAATATATGAAAACAGTAACACAACGTGACGTGTTCCTACGTGAAAATAGACATTGGCAACGCAAAGGTAATAAAATAATACATCAGTACTTCAGACATTAAATTGTATTTGTTGCACAATAACATAAACACTCCATCACACATATGCGTTTCACGTAAGCTTCCACTATATAGGGTGAGTTCTGTCAATGGAATACTGGCACACAAAACTAAATCATGTATTAAAGTGTACGTATAGTGCGGGCCGCACCATATACTAATATATACCCTTATTCAATCAGTGCCAAATCATTTATAAAAAAAAAATACTAAAAAAATTACCCTTCCGAACTATGAATGTCAATAACATCTTTTAGGGAGTTTAATCCAAGATACCTCCAAATCGAAGTTACAGCAGTGCCTCCAAAAATGTATAAATACATTATTCACAACATAGCCCAAGAGCACAAATACGATTGCCGGGTGCCCCGTCAACACCTCTCTTGACCCCACCACTTTCAAAAACAGCCATGATGCACAAATGAAAATCTCTTTCATCATTTCGTAAAAAAAAAGTAAACACAGACTGCCCTTTCAGCACTGAGACAGTGATTCATTCAACTTAATTGATTTTCTAAAAAGAAATAGCGTATTTTATGCTTGAAGAACGCTTTTTGTTGGTTTTCATAGATAACCAGGGGCGCATGTATCGTAGATTGTAAGGCCATTAAAACATATTCCTGTATACCTAATAGTAGTACACCTCACCTATTTCGTTTTTAGTTGGCGTTCTTACTATGAGTAATTTCACTGAGCCAAACGCGCTATGGATATTATACTTAAACAATTAATTGTCTTGTTTCCAAATGTTCTGTATTCCAGGAATTGTGGGCGACTGGAAGACAAATTTCACAGTGGCACAAAACGAAAAATTCGAGGAATACGAAAAACGTAAATGCAAGGAGTATGGAATCGACTTCACCCAATACTACACCAAGACACCTAAGAAATAAAGAGACACAACACAGACCGCACACGCGATGTATAAACCGTAACCATATTTACATCTTGGATTATAAGCTCGCATCGCCCCATTTAATATTTTAATATCACACTTTAATATTTTAAAAGAATAACATACCAATTCATGGTTAATGACCAAGCTTTAATTGTAATTCATATAATTGGTTACATATTGTTTTCAATTAAACAATAGTCTGTTTTTGTGTTCAGGCTCCACTAAAAATATAATAAAATAATTGCATTTGGTATAAAAACCGTGTTACCATATCATATATATATATATATCTTGAATGTTATAATCCTTCTAATTGATTATTTCCCTGGTTGTTTATTATGGATATATATTCACAAAGAGGCTGTACTCATCGATAACATTTATTATTAGTAAATAAAACAGACTTTTCATCACATCAAGATGTTATTTTTAATTTTTGTACGTGAATACAACACATTAGTCATGTATGTATGTATGTATGTATGTAAATTAGCATACACACGCTTGTCTCGGAGCTCCTGATTTTCGAGCGAATTTCACCTGTCAAAGACTTTTGTGAGTACTTTTTGTGGTTTAATTTGTTTTATAAACGTTTCCTGCCTTCATTTATTGTGGTATTTTGGTTTTCTGGCAAAAATCTGCCGTGCTTTTCTCAGTTTTTATTTTCCGCTTTCAGTTTGACTGACGTGGCGGTGCAGCCAAGATGGCGGCCCCCACAAGTCAACAACGTGGCAATCCATTTGCGGGTTTGACCCGCAAACATGGCATTAAATGCGAATCCATCGATGGTGTTGGCATCGAAAGTTACGTTCGTGCAATTTCTGAGGTAATCGATTCAAAAAATATTGTGGCTGCTTCCAGGGTTAGTGGAAGCGTGAT